CCGTTTTTCCGTTGTACACTCTAGGGATTATTAGCTCTTGATATAATGTATTGCCTACAGATTTATATAATGTACAGTGATACAATATGTATAAAAAAAAAGAATGGAAAAGATCAATAAAAATGTTTGAGTCGGCCCCCTTTTGGCGGGTCGGTCGGGTGAGGACAAACAAACAATATTTTTATTATGGCCTTAAAGAGAAATATTAATATATCTTTGCCATGTGAGCAAATGAGTCAAGCCTATGTCTTGTCTCGTGCAGGACACGGGAGAGAGAGGAGATTGAGGATAAAGAGGAGGTGTATGAGAGAAGAAAGCTAGAGAGGAAGCTACGTGAAAAGGAAGCTGCATATCAGGAGGTTTGTATTAGATACATTACTCGGTACAGTTCTTTGCATTCATTTAAAAGTAAACCTGGAACGTAATTACATTTATACTCGTTATCTACGTTTACGCTGATTTCTACGTTTACGCTGATTTCGGATTGCATTCTGCTTTTAAGCGCTTGAAAAACTGGGAGAGCCGGGAGAGGAAGAAGCTTCGTGATTACGAGAAGGAGCAGGAGAAGGAGAATGAGAAGCGAGACGAGGAAGCCAATGAAGGTCGCAGGTTGAAAGAGTTTCTCGAGGATTACGATGACGACCGTGACGATCCCAAATACTATAAGTACGTAGCAGGCAATGTCGACATCTCACATACCTTTGTAAAAGATGTGCATGTAATATATATCAACACTCAAATAATGCATTTTTCGTCTTTACATATACAGGGTTCGACACTAACGCTAGTCCGTTAGTCCGAGACTAGTAAAAAACAAGAAGGACTAGTAAATGCCCCATAGCCGTTAGTCCTGTGGACTAGTTATTTTCCCTGTCCTTCACCGTCCCAATTTACCATCTTCCCATCGATTTTACTATAGTCCCGGGCGGCAGCTTCTCTCAACCAAGATCCAAAGAGCTATATATAACTCATTGCCATCAACAAGTTTTCCCTGTTAGACGCGCTAGCACAAGTAGACGCTAGCACGCTCTGCACGCTAGACCCTACGACAGTATAAACATTGTTAAACAATGGGGCCACGAACCAGTCTACCAATCGATCCCTTGACAGTAGCTGTCGACATAGAACAAACGGTCTGATTGTATAAAATGACACAACTAATCAGTTATACACTCTCATAGCGAGGTATTTGAATCGCAACCACATCGCATGCGTTTTACTTGAAGCAGTTAATAACTTTTGAACAAATAGTTATCTATAGTAGTGATACAAGTAGTGAAGCATAGTAGTAGGTACATACTTGTCCAATACTAACATCAAGGTTGTTATGTGGAAGTATTTGGACGGAGCTCGTCCTCCACCTCCCAAACGTAAGTCGCAGGAGGAGAAATTAGATGGCCAGCGTGTATATGATAAGACCAAAAGGATGCGTACGTTCCAGCCAGCGTGGAAATCAGCATACCTGTGGCTAGAGTATGACCCGGCCAAGGGTATGGCCTGTGGTGCAGGCTGTATGTCTGGTAGTTTTTTCACCGGCACTACAAACTATCGTTT